TTCCTTCCTTCCTTCCCTCCTTCCTCTTTCCTTCCTTCTCAGTTTCCTTCCCAATAGTAAGGTTAGGCCAGAAAGGTTGGAAAATAAACAGATGTGCCTTGGGATTTTACAGACTCAGAGAAGATGACAAAGGGGAAAATGGATCTCTCTGCCATTTCTTGAGTTCTTATTCTTTCCCACTGCCAACTAATTGCAAGTATGAATATACTCATTTTCCTAGTTTGTTGTCTGTTTAATTTTAAAATAGGAATATTTCCATTTCAGTACAAGATACATAGTGGTGAAGACTTACATTCTTTTCTTTCTTTTTTTAAATACCCTGATTTTTCAGGCAAGAAGCCTACCTAAATATAAAATTATCTATGACCTAATATAAAATTAGCCATACCTGGGTGTAACCTAGTGACAATTTTTCTTTTGATCAGAAGAATGCAAATGTTGCTATTTTAAATTCTATAGTACCTTTCGGAACTCAATACTACTACTTAGCAATGTTATAGGAAGTCTTCAGAGTATCTATAATGTAGCTATGAAACAAATTTATTATAACATAATTTATGAGATGATTCAAGTCATCCTGACCCTCTTTTTTTTTTTTTAATCCTTTCTAGGCTGACAGCCTTTAATAAGCTAGCACATGATTAAAAATTATTATAGATCTATACATGATACTGGGAAAACTGGATATCCATAATGCAAAAGAATGAAGCTGGAGCCTTACCTTGTACAATACAAAAAATTAACTCAAAATGATCAAAGACCTAAACATAAGAGCTAATAAAACTATAAGACTTCTAGTAGGACACACAGGGGAGAAGCTTCATGACAAAATTGACATCGGATCAAATGACTTCTTGGATAGGACACCATAAACACAGGAAACAGAAGAAAAAAATAGGTAAATTAGATTTCATCAACATTAAAAACTTTTGTGCATTAAAGGATGCTATCAATAGAGTAAAGAGGCAACCCCAGAATCAGAGAAGATATTTGTAAGTTGTATATATGATAAGGAATTAATATCCAAAATATATAAAGAATTCCTATAACTCAACAACAAAGAACAACCTGATTAAAAAATAGGCAAAGGACTTACATAGATATTTCTCCAAAGAAGATATATAAAAGGCCAATAAAAACATGAAAGGATGCTCAAAATCACTCATCATTAGGGAAATGTAAATCAAAACCACAAAGAGATACCACTTTTGTATCCATTGGGATGGCTATTATTAAAAAACCTAGAAAATAACATGTGTTGACCAGGATGTGGAGAAATTGGAGCCCTTGCTCATTGCTGATGGGAATGTAAAATGGTGCAACTATTGTGGAAAACAGTATTGTGTTCCTCAAAAAATTAAACATAGATTTAAACTTATGATCCAGTAACTCCACTTCTGGGTATATACCCCAAAGACGTGAAAGCAGAGATTCAAAGATATATTTGTACAGTCATGTTCATTGCAGCCCAAAGGTAGAAGCAACTCAAGTGTCCAGTAACAGAGAAATGGACAAATAAAATGTGATATATATAAATGTGATATATATATCTTGAATATATAAATATAACATCAATATATATATTTCATTGCTTTTTAAGGCTGAATAACATTGTATATTGTATATAGGGAAATTCTGATATATGCTGGAAGATATTCACTAAATGAAATAGATGCAAAAGGACAAATGTTCTATGATTCCATTTATATAAGGAACCTAAAATAGTCAAATTCAGAGACAAAAGTAGAATAGTAGTTATCAGGGCTGGGGAAGTAGGGAATGGAGAGTTATTTTTTACTAGGTGCAGAATTTCAGTTTGGTATGATTAAAAAGTTCTGTGATGGGTAGTAGTGATGGTTGCACAACAATATAAATGTACTTAATGCCACTGAACTGTACACTTAAAAATGGTTAAGATGAGGGCACCTGGGTGGATCAGACAATTAAACATCTGCCTCTTGATTTCGGCTCGGGTCATGATCTCAGGGTTGTGGGACCAAGCCCTGAGTTGGGCTCCACACTCAGTGCGGAGTCTGCTTGAGATTCTCTCTTCCTCTCCCTCTGCCCCTCCCCTGCGCCCTCTCTACAAAAAAAAAAAAAAAATCTTTATCAGTAAAAAAAAAAAAAAAAATTTGTTAAAATGGTACTTTGTCACAATAAAAAAAATAACTCCTCTAAAAAATGTCACTGAACCCACTATTTAGAGGAAAGTACTAAGCCATTCTGCCATAAAACATTATTTTCAGTTTTTAGATTTTATCTTTTTGGCTTTTTTAAATGTCACAAATATTAGAGTCATATTCAGAAGGATTTATATCAATAGCTTTGCATAATAACAATAGTAACAGCTACTGTTTATTGTTTGTCTACAAAGGCCAAAGTCATTAAATACATTATATCGATAAATCAACACAAAAATTCTATGAAGGGAATATTATCACCCCTGGGCATATCTTAGGGCTTGGGGGTTTAGTAACTTGTCTCTTGTTAAAAAGCCACATCACTCCCTTACCTTGAATCATTTCACTGCTCTTAGCATGGTAGTGGTAATGAATATGAGGTGGGGGTGGAGCGGTTGGGGGGAGTTGGAGGTGAGCAGAGAGATCGATGTTTGTCCTGTGAAGTCGTTATGTAAGTGTGCTTGTGTGTGATTGAGGAGAGAATACTTTTATTTATTTTTTTTTAAATAAACCTAAGGTGAGCCTAGTTTCTTATCCACCACTTTGGGTTATTTTCATAAATAACTGTTGGGAAATGAACTCAAGAGTGCTATTGTGGGCTGTTGTATGCAGCGTCCCCTTGCATATACCAGCCAAAGGGCCCTGGGGAGACAGTGGTGTAAAGCCAGGGTAAGGATGCCAACCCACACCTCAAACATTTATTAGTTGCCAGGTATACGATGCTATCTACCAGGTGATCAGTAGAATGAATAAGCTACTTGAGTTTGGAGTATAAAAAGGGAAAACCTTAGCGATTCACCAAAGCTTCTCTTCCCATTAGGCCCAAGAGAATATGAATGCCCATCCAGCTTTTCGGGGTCCTCTTTATAATGGCTAGGGCTCAGGGTAATCATCAGAATGTATGGCCTGAGACAGAGGACTGTTTTCCCCACGTGTTTCTTTCCTTGAGTTTGTGGTGTGCCTCCCTCAGAGAGCATGCGGGGGTGGGGATATACCGTGCCCCAACTGCCTGGACCGAGCTACCCCTTTCCTTCTCAGGAGTCTGCTTTCTCACAACCACAGGCCAGGCTGAGCCAGGTAAGGCCTGGCAGTCCGGAGGTCTTCATCTCCCCCAATTTCTCCTGATTCTTCCTCAGTTTAGATTTAGAGATGTTCTTCTAGGAGCTGATCCCTGTTGGGCAATTTCTGGTGTCTCAGTGGTGCACCCTGCTGGAAATGCTCTACCAGATACATCACTTGGGAAGGGAAGTTGGAGGATCTGGCGGTCAACAGCGAATCTGCACCTTTCCCTCCATTTCCAGTAGAAGGGGTTCTGACAAATCATTAAGCTGACCATAGGGAGTCAGGTTGAGGCTCAGCTTTTTTCTTGTTTGATGTTATAATTCAAAAGAGTGCAAGGAATTTTCAGTTTTTACTATGATAAGTCCCCTTAGTCCAGGTGCTCTACAGCAGAGACTCTCTCAACAGTGAATTTTCTAAGAGCTGAGTTCAGTATTTGCATGCATTTAACAGATCTGAATTCTTTTTGATTCACCCAGGTTTCTGGGGGCAGGGAACAGGAATTCTTTTGAGATCCCAGGGCTACTTTCATATCCTAAAGGACCAGGCCGGCACTTCTATGTTTAGAGCTCCATCTCCGTATCACACCTAACATATTAAAATGCGTTCCATGTCCAATAACATTTTTCTTTGTTGTTTAAAAAAGAACTTGAAAATTGTCGTTAAATATTTTGCTTTCAAATTGTTTGCAAATAAATAATTTGCTGTGATCTTTCAGTAATTATGTGCATTCTGAATTTGTGTGAAGTGAGAAAAATGAACAAATTTATTTATAAATGCAGGAAATGTTTCTTAACAATAACAATTAATGGAGTTGACATGATAATATTGTTTATGTTTATTAAACATTTATTAATTTTGATTTTACATTTTTTCCTTTGGTATTTTGAGTCTTTTTTTTAGGGGAAGTCTCAGACCTTTTCAAAAGCTTTGAGGCCTTAAGTATCACACTATTTAATGGATAAAATCATACAGTCACTTCCCTTAATCACTTTCTTTTTTTTTTTAAGATTTTATTTATTTATTTGACAGAGAGAGAGAGCACAAACAGGGGGAGCGGCAGGCAAAGGGAGAGGGAGAAGCGGGCTTCCTGTTGAGCAGGGAGCCCAATGTGGGGCTCCATCTGGGACCATGACCTGAGCTAAAGGCAGATGCTTAAACAACTGAGCCACCCAGGCACCCCCTTTAATCACTTTCTTATGTGGGTAGCCTTACCTCATAAGACTGGGTATTAAGCTGGACCATATGAAATTGCTGGTTATTTGTTTTTTTTGTGTTTGTGTTTGTGTGTGTGTGTGGTTTTTTTTTTTTTTTTTGTAAAATATGACTGAATAGAGGCGATTTCACATGATTTAACCTAATTGTTTTTTGTTACAAATACAATACATTTATTCCTTTGGAAACAGAGTTAAACTGGAGAGGTAAGACTAACAAGAGCAGAGTGCTATGCATGGAGTAGGCACTCAGTAGGTATTTGCTGAATGAATGCATGCAGGTACCAATGAATGACCCAACAAGAAGCAACAACATACACAAGAATGAAATTGCATGTTATGGACTTGGGGTAATGAAACTGGTGGAATATATTAATCATACAAAGCACTTTGGCAATTACTTTTAAAACCAACATTCTCTTTTTAATTTAATTTTGTTTGTTAACAAGAGACTGGCATTGCCTATGGGAGAAAGCATAGTGTACTGCCTACTGCTCATTCAGGAATAAAAAAATGGAAACACATAGGAGTTTAAGGAGGAAAAGAAGCCTTGTGGATCTGAGAGCGGAGATTTCAGAGGTCAATAGGATGTTCATGTTGCTTTTCATTTGGCAACAAGAACTGTCTCCAAGGGCAGGATCCTTAATTGGAAAGTCTTGGTTTTTAGTTTTGTTTGATCCCAAGGAAGTCAACAGCTTAATTGTTTTTTTGGCTGGAAATCCTAGAGAAAACAAAGGATTATCAAATCTTAATGATTTAATAAGACTTCAACTTTGGGTCCATCCATCCATCTATTTATTTATCCCCTTATTCTATTGCATCATTATGTACCAGATACTCTCTAGGGGCTGGGAACAGAATGGGGTTTAGGATACAAGAGACACATTTCCAAACTAGAGGGATATTCTCTTGTGTAGAAAGATGAAATGTCATTAGTTCTGGAAAAGCAGAGGGAAAAGTGCTCAGGAAGCATAGACAGAGAACTGATTCATGGAGAAATTGGAGAAGATTTCACTGAAGAGATGTTAATTGTTCTGGGTCCAGAAGGAAGGTTTTCCATGATTAGAGTAACCAAAGAATGAGAAAAGGGGAGGGGGAGGAGGAGAAGAGGAAAAGAAAAAAAAAAAAAAAGAATCATGCCCCAGGAAGGATCCACCACAAAGGTTTTGGTTTAACTGGCATGGATGGACATCTGTTTTGTTTTTCTTTTTGGCCTTTTTAAAGAAGCTAACCAGGTAATCTAGAGAGCATTAGGTTGAGAAACACTGGTGTGGAAGGAGTAGAAACACACAAGGGGAATAAAGGAGAGGGGGCTTGGATTGGTTGAAGGAGGAGAAAGTTGGAGAGCATTCTACTTTAAGTAAATAGTATGTTAAAAAAGGTGATGTTTAAGGTTTTCAATCTCATGATGGGGGCATGTCCAATCTAAATGGGACATTGGAACTGAACATTTTGCAGAAAATTGGATGTCTGGAAGAGATTCCTTGAGAGAAAGATTCAGCAAGAAAGATTTCATCAAGAAAGATTTCTGGTGGACCATCCTGAGTCAGGTGTGAAAAGTCAACCAGAAGATACTAGCGTCCTTAAAGTTACTATGCAGATAGGTGGAGGGAACTTGATCTTCATTATCCATGAAACACAAAATGTGGAAACTGAACCAAGAAATTTACATTAAAAAACTGGTGCAAAATGAATGAAAACAACAGGACCTCTCAAGAAACAAATTAACCCTTAGAATACTCAGAGTAACAGGATTCCCACAGGAAACAATTTCCCCTGAGGATTAAGCCTGTAATAAGAAATTACTAAGTACACAGAAAAAAATGCCATGAGAATGAGTTAGTACCCTTAATAGACAAAACAATTGCAGTGCAGAAAATATATATTGGGGAGCAAATTAAGAGAGACTCCCAAATGAACATGTTTCATATATTCAAAGAGATAAAAGTAGGAAAATAGTACAGTAGGCTAGGATTAATTAAAAATAGATTAAGGTCTTGAACGTAAGATCTGAAACCATAAAGCTCTTAGAAGAAAACAGGTAGTAAACTCCTTGAACCAGGTCTTAGCAATGACTTTTTGAATCTGACACCAAAAGCAAAAGCAAAAAAAGTAAAAATAAACAAGTGGGACTACATCAAACTCAAAAGCTTCTACACAGCAAAGGAAATCATCAAAAAATGAAAAGGCAACCTACCGAATGGGACAAAATATTTGCAAACCATAGATCTGATAAGTGGCTAATATGCAAAATATATAAAGAACTCATACAACTCAATAGCAAACAAATAATTTGATTAAAGAATGGGCAGAAGATCTGAATAGACATTTCTCAAAAAAAGATGTACAGATGGTCAATAGGTACATGAAAGATGCTCAACATCACTAATCATCAGAAAAATGCAAATCACAACCACAATGAGATATCACCTCACACCTGTTAGAATAGCTATTATCAAAAAGACAAGAAATAACAAGTGTTAGTGAGGATGTGACAAGAAATAACAAGTGTTAGTGAACCCATGTGCACTATTGGTGGGAATGTAAATTGGGGCAGCGGCTATGGAAAATGTTATGGAGGTTCCTAAAAAAAATAAAAGAATAGAACTACTATATGATCCTCCAATTCCACTTCTGGGTATTTAGCTGAAGAAAATGAAAACACTAACTCAAAAAGATATATGTACCCCTATGTTTACTGCAGCATTTTTTACAATAGCCAAGACAGGAAGCAACCTAAGAGTCCATCAATGGATAAATGGATAAAGAAACTGTGGTATATACACACAATGGAATATTCAGCCACAAAAAAGAATGACATATATGGACCTTAAGGGCATCGTGCTAAATGAAATAAATCATACAGAGAAAGAGAAATACTGTATGATCTCTCTTATATGTGGAATCTAAAAAAACAGAAAAACAAACAAAACACAAAACTCATATAGATACAGAGAATAGATGGTGGTTGTGAGAGGTGGGGGTGGGGTGGGAGAAATGGGTGAACTGTTTTTGGTTTAGTTTAAATAAATTGAATAATTAATAATAAATAAATAAGAAAGAAAGATCTTTAAGATTTATTATAAGTGATAAAAGCCAGATGGATCAATGTATATACTTTACTACCAATGGGTAAAGAACAAAAATGAGGAAGGAAGGATATCTCTCTCTCTCTCTCTCTTTCTCTCTTTCTCTCTATCTATCTATCTATCATATATCTATCTAAATATATGTGTTTTTTTCTTATTTGCCTGCATATAAAAAAGAAGATGTGGAAATAGGCATCAATGATAATAATACCAAATAGTTTTTGAACTCTTTCCCCAAATTCAAGTTAGTCTTTTACATGTGTTACCTTACTGCAGGTTCATGAGTCCCAAGCACCTTCGGTCTAGTTTTTGTTTTTAATTAAAGCAAACACATAAAAATCATGTTTTAGGTAACTAACCCTGCTACTGTGGCCATATCCATTTGGCACAAAAATCAGCACCTTGGCAAAAGTCCTCTATATACAAAACAGACATAAGGAAGACCAGGAGTTTACGCTATCGTTAGAAACTCCTCCTGTTTTAGGAACACTATGTACTGGATGATGGAATAAGACTCAATTGACCCAATCAGACTCTGTAGCAGATAGCATTCCCTTGGAAATAGACTCTGAGGATCTGAGTTTGTATGCAGCGTATTTATTAGTGTTTGTTCTTGGGAAAAAATCTGTGAGGAGTGTGGAAAGCAAAATTAGGAATAAGGGGAAGCTCAATTGTGCTGTTCTTGCAACAGAGGCTTCAGCAAATCACATGGGGAGCTGTGAAGCTAGGTGGTGCTTCAGAGGGCTTGTTCATCAAATACCAACCACACTGACCAGTTATCAGATACAAGCCTCCCTCAGGCTGGGAGCATAACCTGGGGTGTGGTCGCTTCCTTGTTACAGGGCGATTCCTGAAGAGAATTGTTGTGTGAAATGTCAGCAGGTAACACTCCTAGGAGGTGGGGGGATGGGTCCTTGGTCCTGAAGGGAGATCTGGGCTGTGCACCATGACATCCCCTACAGGGTCTTAGGGAATTTTGAATGCAGGAGGCATTGGGAAAAGATAGAAGCAGTAGAAGCAGAGGGGATAAAGGACGTGACGAACGGAGTCATGACAGTGGTAGCGTCATTATAGTATTAACAACAAGGTAATTAGGTTGCTACAACAGTTTTTGAACACCTTGAGAGGGTTTGTATGTTTAACAAGGATAAATGATATTTCAGATCTTCATAAATGCCATCGGAAATTGTGGAGACTGTTGTTATTATCCCTATCTGTTTCCTGCAATCTGAAAAAGTGAACCTAAAAGACATAGGTCTTAGGGATTCAACTTTGAAGTGCATCTTATTCAAGGGTATTTATAAGAACATGTGAAGAAAACATTCTCGGGAAAATATATAAAAATTTTAGAGAGATTAGGAATTTTGCTTACTTGCTTAAAAAAATTACAGTTGACCCTTGAACAACGTGGGGGTGAGGGGCACTGACCCCTGCAGAGTTGAAAATCTGTGTAGAACTTTTGACTCCGCTAAAACTTAACTACTAATAGCCTCCTCTTGCCTAGAAGCCTTAGTTGATTATATATATATATATAATATAATAACAATAATAACAATATAGTTGATTAACACATATTTTGTATGTTAAAAGTGTTATATAGTGTATTCTTACAATAAAGTAAGCTAGAGAAAAGAAAATGTTATTAAGAAAATAATAAGGAAGAGAAACTACATTTACAATACTACTGTAAAAAATTCACATCTAAGTGGACCCATGCAGTTCAAACCCATGTTGTTCAGGGGTCAATCATTACAATTAAAAAATTTTTTTCATAGTTCTGTTTAAATGCAGAGGTAGAAGATATAAAATTGCATGCTCAATGATATATAAAATCTGATTTGTCCATTTTCATTATTCATTCAGTTTTTCTCCTCTCTTTACATTGATAATCTAGAAGTTTCATACAAATTAGTTCAAGAGATAATTTTCAAATTAAATAACCTCAAAATGCACAGTTTTGTCCCTAATAATATATCATAAGTTGTTCTCACCTTAAGTTTTTCGTTTACTGGTTTCACAGGCAATCCCCGTAAATGTGATGGGGCAGGAACACAGACATTCTCCCTCCAGCAGAATCACGGTACCTCCATTTTGGCATGGGTCACATTTTCTCGCACTGAATTCATTGAGGTAATCTTCAATGGCATTTTCCAAATTTTGTTTCTTTAGATGTGCGTCTTTTATTTTAACTGGAACCAGATTATATATAGGAGATAGCTACAAGAAAGCAAACCATTTAATTTCAGGACTTTTTCTACTGATGGAGCTTGTGCAATACCATTCATTGGATTAGTTGTTTATCAATTCATTAATTCAACAAAGGCTTATTTAATGACTGGTATTGGCAGATACAATGTTAGCTTTTAAGACTAGTAGTGATCAAAACAAGGCATGATCTCTGTGATCATGGAGATCACATTACAGAGATAAGAAGACTGATACTAAAATAATCAGATTGGGGTGCCTGGGTGGCTCAGTTGGTTGAGCCTCTGACTCAGTTTCGGCTCAGGCCATAATCTCATGTGTCATGAGATGGAACCCGGAGTAGGGCTCCATGCTCAGTGGAGAGTCTGAGATTCTCCCTCTCCCTCTGCCCCTCCCCCCACTCTCTCTCTCAAATAAATAAACAAATCTAAAAAAAAAAAAGACTATAGTAGTGACCAAAACTAGGCATGATGTCTGTGATCATGGAGATCACATTATGGAAGTAAGAAGACAGATATTAAAATAATCATACAGATAAAATTAAAATGGAAACTATGGTAGGTGCTATATGGGATGGGTACACATGTTTTAAAAATGCACAACTATGGATTTAAACTTTTCTCAGGATCATGTATTAACATTATTTTTTGAATTGTTTTTGCTGACTTTTCCGCTCCTCTTCTCTTCCAGCAGCTAGCCAGGTGCTCGATATCTCTTGCTGGAGTGGGGGTTGGTGTGCAAGACCAAGATCAGAAAGCCCCTAAAGGCAAATTCTTTACTGACCTTCTCCCCCACACCCCCCAAAAAGCCTGAACTCACTGAGAAAGTTTTGCAGGGAGAAGAAGTGTAAGAAGAATGCCACTGAGGGAGGAGTTTCTTCCAGAATTAGTACGTCTCTTAAGTAGCAAGAAACCATAACTAGATCTCTGGCAGCTATTTTAGGAAGTAGCAGGATCTGTGGCGTGCCCCTAGGGAAGCTAGGTCCATATCAAGGTCCATATCAAGGACCACGGATCCAGTGAACATGTGAGTTTGAACAATGAGGTTACCACCACCATGGACTAAGTATTTATACATATCATATTCCCAATTCCCAACAGACGTTCTTGTATTAAGTTGAGCAACAAGGAAAGATCTCCCTGAAACCCATCTGACACATGAATAAAGGATGAATTTTCTAGCAGTATGAAGGTATCTCAATGTCAAACTTAGACTTAAAGAAAATGAAGTAAAATGATTTATTCTGCACACTTAAATTCCTGGAGTAAGATACATAGTTGTTACAACTGATGCAGGGAAGCTTGGAAAGGCTTCCCTGAGAAAATGACCCTTAAGTTGAGATTTGAGGGCCAGAAAGAAGAATATTCCAGTCATAGAGAATTCAAAAAGTTCTTATGGTGTATAAACCATAACATATATTGAAAGTGTGTATCATGTGTCTATATAAGAGCTATTTGAGTAAATAGGTCATTAGGAATTGAGACCCTTGAGCGGCAGAGCACTTTGAAACAGGAGGCCACAAAATTTAAAAGAAATTGGAATCCAAAGACTCAAGAAAGAGGAGATAAAAAAAATATACCACAAATTCCTGCATAAGAGTAATGATGGATTAAACAATGTCAACTGATTTTTTTTTCCTCTGAGGACAATGACAAAAGCTGAACAAATAAACCAAAATTAAAAATCTGCTTGAAGGGGCACCTGGGTGGCTCAGTCGTTAAGCATCTGCCTTTGGCTCAGGTCATGATCCCAGGGTCCTGGGATGGAGCCCCGCATCGGACTCCCTGCTCAGCGGGAAGCCTTCTTCTCCCTCTCCCACTCCCCCTGCTTGTGTTCCCTCTCTCGCTATGTCTCTCTCTGTCAAATAAATAAATAAAATCTTTAAAAAAAAAATCTGCTTGAAGGCCCTGGAGAACTAACGAGGTAAAACTTATTAGGCTAAGATCTGGGAGGCGCTGGAAATGCAGTGAGGTGAGCCTAGTGTTTTTGGGCCACAGTCCCCTTGACACATTTCCTAATTTGGAAACAAGCAGCAGAGGGGCTGAGGTAAAGGAGCACAAATTACTGGGCTGGGGAAAGAAGGTTGGTATTCAGGGACAGCAAAGGAAAACAAGCCATGCTTTGGGTTGGGACACAAAAGACTACAGCCCCAGAAGTAAGAGGGAATTGGAAGTGGGGTAGCTCTGGCAAAGACTGCAGTCTGGTTTGCATTAGAATAATCTTGGGGGTGCCTGGGTGGCTCAGTCGGTTAAGCATCTGACTCTTGATTTGGACTCAGGTCTTGATCTCAGGGTTGTGAGTTCAAGCCCCTCATTGGGCTCCACGCTGGGCCTGGAGCCTACTTAAAAAATAAAAATAAGTTAGAAAAAGCCCCCAACAGTCTTGAATCATTGTAACCCCAGAAACATTCCAGATATAAATACATATTTTCTTTGGAGGAAAATAAAATCATCCCAGGCCTCAAGCTATTCCTAGAACAATTTTTAAAGTATAGTATCCAGCCCCCAATAAAAATAAGAGTAGGTACACAGGGAAACAAGGCAACATGAATGAGAACCAGTAGGAATGCTAGAAACTAGAAGCAGAGCTGGGAGGATGCCACGATTTGACTGACCAGACTTTTAAAGAACTATGTTTACATGAGCAGGGGGATAAAAGAAGAGATCAACAATTTTAGCAGGAAACTGGAAATTATCTTTTAAAACAGAAGATTTGGAAAAAATAAACAAATAGAACTATTATACCTAGATATTATAATATTCCAGTTAGTGGACTGGGTACATAGCAGCTATGATACAACGAAGCAGTTAATGAACCGGAATATAGGTCAGGAGAAAATGCTGACAAGGAACCATAAAGAGATAAGGATTGGGAAATACAAAAAGAGGGTAAGAAAACATAAAAGACAGAGTGAGAAAGTGAAAGATCCATATAATTTGAGTCCCAGAAGGAGAGAATATTTAAGAAGCAGTATTTGAAGAACTAGTGGCTGAGAAGAAAACAAGCCTGTGAAAGACAAGAAGGTACCCTGGGAATGAGAAGCGAGGTTACAATTTTTTCGTTTCACACCTAGGCCTAGCAGAGTAAAATTGCCAAAAAACAAAGGCAATGGAGTAAATCTGAAAATCATTTTTTTTCTTAAGATTTTATTTTTAAATCATCTCTCCACCCAACATGGGGTTCAAACCCACAACCCAGAGATCAAGTGTGCATGCTCTACCAACTGAGCTAGCCAGGAGCCCCAAATCTTCAAATCATCTCAGTAAACAGCCATAGTACTTTGAAAGTAGACTGATATTTGACTTTAATAGATACAATCAATAATATAAATTGTTCTAGAACAATGAGATATTCATAGGAGATTTTTTTAAAAGATGACCTTGAAACTTCTATCACTCATAAAAAAAATCTAGATTGATTGTAGATCAAAAAGTAAAAGCAAAACAATAAATCTTGAAGTAAGGAAAGATTTTAAATAAGACACAACAGTACTAACTATAATGGAAAGAAAGAAATACATGTTTGAATACATCAAAATAAAAAAAAAATCAACATTATAATTCCTGACATGATGTACTGAAAAGGACACAACATCACTTCCGTGGCATTCTCGCCAAAATGCATAACTTTGGTCTTCTCTAAGCCTAAATTGAGAGACATTTGACATAATAGATGGCCAAAACCTATCAAAACATGTCAAGGTCATGAAAGACGAGAAAAGTCTGAGAAACTGTCCCAGGATGGAGGAAACTAAGGGGACATGAGAACTAATTGCATTGTGAGATTTTGATTGGATCTTGGAACAGAAAAAGGATATTAGGGGAAAAACTGGTGAAAATTAAATAAGGTCTGTGGGTTAGACAATGTTGCTTTTCTGATTTTGATCAACTGTATGATGGTTATGTAAGTTGTTAACATTCGGGGCTGCTGGTTTATAGGGTGTATGTGAACTCTGTTCAATTTTTGTAGTTTTACTGTCTGCACTATTTATGCAATTTTACAGTAAGTCTAAAATTATTTCAAAATAAAAACTGAACGAGAGAACATCTGTTATAAAAAAAGTATCATAAAGGGTGAAAATCCTCAGGTGAAAGAAAACATTTATAATACTTTTAAGTTAGAATAGGTTCATATCCAAAATATACCAAGAACTTCCACAGTCCACACAAATGTTCACCAGCACACACTGTTTTATGAGTTAGTATATAAGATTTAGATTTCAACGATGTCCTATTTATTTGGAAGAAAGTAGCCTCTTACCCACGTTGCCACATTGGCACGAACGGCATAAGCATGTGATGGAGTTATTGTGATTTTTAGGAAAAGAAGTTCATCTTGTTTTACCCTTCAAAAGAAAGTCAAGGCCAGATAATCTAAGATACAGGAATAGAGGGTCATGGAGAAACTACAGTGTGGATGAAATGCATAAACAGTGTTCCAAGAGATAAAGACGAAGGTCATTTAGTGACCGCGGTCTGAGAGGAGCCTCAAACCCTGGAGACAAAAGTCCCACAAGAAGACATAGAACAATTAAAATGTACTTCGGGAAGTGTTCCTGAAGAGCCACATCTTTTTCTGATGAACTTTAGCTCTTTGCTAATTAAGAAAACAGTTCTAATTTTTCTCCTATCCTAGCTAACTCTATCTTTCTACCATTTGTAGATATATTTTCAGTGGATGTAATCTGTCACGAAACTTGCCAACATACAAATAAATGGAAATATAATTTAATATGAAGTACATTGAGGTTTCTCACAGGCTTCCAAACTAATTAAACTATGTGCCAAATCCAGTTTGTTGATAGAAGGAGTGTTATTTTCATCCCTATACAAGAGAGTTCAGAATGATTTTTGCCATGTCTTTATAACTGTCATGACTACAGAACAGAGCACTGGTACTCCAGCTCTTTAAAATACTTATGCTCTTTAACATCCGGTGCATCACTGCTAAGAGTTGCACAATATAACAAAAATGGTAGGTAAATAGTTCATTATGTCTCAAGTTGATCCAGAAAGAGCTTAATATAGCTTGACACGTAGGTACATAAAGTTGGTTGAGGGAAATGAGAAAGGGAGAACAGAGGATGGAAAAGGCAAGATGAAGGCAAAAAGCAACACAAAATTCATGCCAGGAGGACCCCCCCCACTGGCATGAGTTGGGTCACAAATTTGGGTATATTTTCTAGTGCATTGAGTAAGACAACTGATTGTAATGGTCACATGTCTGTAAGAAATATTTACATGATTCCCAAGAGAAACAAAATGATCCTTAAAACTGAGATTAAAGAGTAGTATCTCCTGTGAGTTCTCATCAAGGAGACATTAGTATTATGTAACATCCTTTTAGTAAATAAATCAGTGAGTTACATAACTTTGGTTTTTAAAATGCCAAAATGGAACTTCACAGGAAGCCAACTTGCTCTACGCTAGCTATACTGATCTCTGCTGCTTTGCTCTAGAGGAAATAATACACTTTAGATATCTCAGGCCATCATTAATAAATGTAATTTCCTCAGCTGACGTTTTGATAACTAGTTTGTAGCAATAAGCTTAAGAAGAAACCAAGTTCAGCTAGTCTGTTGAGCTGAAATGTAGAAATGTTGTGTTAACATTCAGGCAAGCTGGAAATAGAATTAATATACTTTCATGAAAACTGAAGCTCTGACAAAAGTTAATACTGAAGGAGAGGCCCTATCTCTGCATGAAGAAGGGTGGAGGAAAAATTCTTGGGCTGGGTTAACACATTCCTCAAGAAGAGGTTTGGGGTCTGCTAAAGCATGCAGGCAAAGCAAGAATCAGAGCCACAAGGTTATTTTTATTTTTATTTTTATGTTTCATAGTTTTTATTTTATTTTATTTTTTCTTAGTTACTTTAGCATGGAAAAATATGTTATGCTATGTTATGTTGTGTTATGTTGTATATAATAACTGTCTTACTTAGAAAATCTCTGTAAAATTCTTTAGAGTGATATAACTTCCTAGTGTTTTCTCCAAGATAAGCTATTTGTAACATAAATACCTAGATAATTGATTTAATTTGCTCAGAGGATTAAACATAAACCAGTTAATAGTTTCGTGTAGGTGGGGAGAGATTTCACCAATTCTTTAAATAATTAAATAGAAGCGTTAACTATTTTAATATTAAGACCATCCCTGGTGTTTGAACATGTCATCCATAGATAAGAGAATGCTTCAACTTACCAAAGAATTAATTAGTGATTATAGATTGTTTAATTACCTCATGGAATAGCTTCTAAACCAGAAAAACACTTCTACTGGATTTATAAAATCAAAATAAGTTGCAATCTATTTTGAGGTCAAACCAGACTATATATCATATTCTTTAGGGATTTAAAAGTCACACAAAGTCAATAAAACACATAGTATTCTACTATTTTCTGCACTTCTATAAGAAGATACATTTTTAAAAGTGGTCCCTGGGTGACTTACTGTAGTTGTCATTTTCTTAGGTAGAACATTCATATGAAAAGCCCAGGCTTCCAATATGTAAAGAAAGAAACTTATACAGGTAGTTTAGAAGGACTGCCTACTAATCTAAAAATCTGGAGATCAATAGTTGCCCCTGAAGATAAGATAAACTATATTTTGCATCCAGCCAGTGGGACTGTCCAAACAGAGTTGATTAAAGTCTTTGAATAGTTCTGGCAAATCTAGTAGTAAATCTTAGGCAGATGTTTTATTTACTTGAGATTTTTTAAATTGGCTCTAGATTATGGTAGATGATGATTAAGACCTTCTCAGAGAACAATCTTGGATCTCTACAAGGACAGCTGAACTTCCTTTGTCGGGATGAGAAGACAAGCCAGTTTAAGTATCCATGTGGATATAAACATCTTTCTAAATGAATTCTTTTTTATTTAAGATTTTCTGACATAGATTTATTTTTACTGAGTTCAAAATAATGAATTTAAATGTGATTTAAACATAATAAAATAAAAGGGTACCTTTTTTGGGGGTGGGTACCTGGGTGGCTCAGTCGGTTAAGCATCTGCCTTTGGCTCAGGTCATGACCCCAGAGTCCTGGGATGGAGCCCCACATCAGACTCCCTGCTCAGTGGAGCCTACTTCTCCTTCTGCCACTCCCCCTCCTCATGCTTTCTCTCTCTCTCTCTCAAATAAATAAATAAAATCTTAAAAAAAAAAAAAGACTTGAATTTCGTATATAGACACGCTAATTTGGCCAACTTTTTTTCCCTGTTTGTCCTACTTTTGGGACAAAATATTTGAAGTTTCATAGATATGTTAGCATATCTATAAATGGCTAGATTTCTATGACTTAAAGGGAAAGTAGATTACAATTTTCCAGTTTCTTAGTTCTGCCCTCATATAAATGTGATGGTTTTGGTAGCTTCACTCACTCTTTAAAGACAACAAAAGGGGGTGAAGGAATAAAAATTTCCAATAGCCTTTATTGGATAGTCCTATCAAACTATGATAGGACTTTTGATAGGACTATTCAAACTAGAATAGTCCTATCAAAATCCCAAATGACTGTAACTCAAGTTAATCAAACTGAAGTCGAGGGTCATCAAAGATAAATCTGACCCAAGGGAGAATTGTGAAACCTACAGGGAAAATTGAAACCTATAAAAGGAAGTAGGAAAGCAAATAAGGAATAAAGGAAAACACATACCCTTTCTAGTAAGTTTGGGGAGAGAGTGATGGGGCTAAATGAGACTAGCATTTATATCTTTACAATTACAATGCAGTTTGTTTCTCCTGGAAATAAGGACTAATGGGTTTATAAACTGAAGACTATAATCAAGATACAAAAAAGAAAGAATTTCTGGACCCTAAGAACTGCTCACCCTTGGTCTTATTTTCTGAGACCTTATGAACTTCCCTTTCATGAAGGCGCTTCATGATTCTCCTGTGTTGGAAGTGGTGCTATGATGCCCCCTGAAAGCAAGGGACAACCAGGGGCAGATGGAAGAGAACTGACAATTCTTGGGCACCAATTTTGTGCCAGTCTGTGCGAGAGGCTCTATGCAAACAATGCTACCGAATCCTCAAAATAAACATGAAGCCCTGGAGAGTGTAGGGTTGCAGAGGTCAGAGAACTTTACACGTTCAGAGGACAGAGATCAGAACTCAGCCTGGGTTGGTGTGAGGCCACAGGTCATGCCTCTCCTCTCTGTCCTGCTTCTTTCCGGGGATGAGATAGCGGTGCGTTGGAATGCTCACATCTCTTTCAGATGAAGTTAACTTCATCTGAACCCACAGTTACATTGAATAAGAAAATGTAAAAATCTCCTATTTGAAAATAAACATTCCTTACTTTTTGGTTTATGAGCACTGGAGCATCATTTAAGGAAGTGGCCCAATTTACAAAGTCAGTCATATCAACCGTCTTGGCTCCTTTGAGAAGCTTCTCTTTCAGTTGATAGGCATATTTTTGGGTCCCTCCTCTTATGAGTGAAATAACGTCATCTATGATGCCATCACGACTGATGTTTACTGAGAAGAGAAAGAGGATATAAGTGAAGCATTTATAGTTCTGTGACATTTGATTAATATTTATTGAACCCTTTCATAAAGTATCATCTAGTATATTTACTGAATTTTATTTATGTAATTTTTTTTACCCCAAATCTCCAAGACCAATTTTTATGGGTAGCCAATGGAAGACTTTAATTGTCTTAAAAAAATAAAAACAATATGACAATTGAGATACATTGATGATTCCAAGTTCATCACTTATGCACATGCACACATGACTTTGGGCTACACTATACATTTTTTGTTTCAGACTTACCTTCATAATTACATTTTATATAGGTTTGTTTTAAACTATTTTAATATTATGAAAAATCAAAGCATATAAAAAAGAATCAGGTGAAAAGCAAAATTCTTTCCATCCCACATTCCTACTTATCTCTCTCCTTCAATCTCTCCAGACTAAACCACCTTTAACAAAATTTGTGAATCTTACAGAGTTGTAAATTTTTCAAACTGGAAAGGAATTTTAAGGAGTTTTTGTTTATCATTTTTCATTTTTATAAATGAGAAAACTGAGACTCAGACAGGTGGAGTGACTAGCCCAAGACTAGCTTAAGGGGTAAATATTGAAATTAGGACATTTTATGGCAAGTTCAGTTTTCCTTGCACTTCATCAATGGTTTCCAATCATGGCCACACGTTAGCGGTTGGTATGCTTTTAAAAATATCAGGCTTTTTTCTGTCTGCCTCCCCACTATCATTTGATTCTTTAGAGGTGAGCCTCAACCATTTGTATGTCTGAAAATACTCTCAGATTAGATTAGAGTAAAAATTGAGAACTCCAGAACTACCTCATGCTTGTAAATCTGCTAAATATTACCAACACAAGCAACATTTTTACCAAAGATATTTATATTCTTAAAAAGGTTATGCACTGATTGAATGTAAAGGATGAATTGGGATTTCTTTTCCCCCCAGTTTTATTGAGATATATTGACACACTGTAAAAGTTTAAGGTGTACAGCTTAATGACTTGACATACACATATATTGCAAAATGATTACCACAATAAGTTTAGTAAACACGCATCACCTCATAGAGTTTACAAAAACTTTATTTTTTCCTGGGATGAAAAATTTTAGTATCTACTCTCTTAATTACTTTCAAACATATCACATGGTACTGTTAACTAGTCATCTTGTTGTATATTACATCCCCAGTATTTATTTATCTCATAACTGGAAGTTTGTACCTTTTGACTCATTAGATGAAGGTGGATTGGGGGTTTTGAGTCAGGTGGAAGGCTGAGTTAGTGGAATGGTTTTGGTCTTCTCCTTTCTTAAAGGTCACACAGGGTCCTGCCACTAGCCTATTCAGAAGCTGTGTTAAAATTGGGGAGAAAAAAGGAGATCTTTCTTGAAGACATTTCTCTACCATTGGCCTTCTACCATTGCCATGATAAATATGAAATCTACAATGACCATGGCATAAAAGCCTTTCCCAGAGCTGCATGCTGTGTGACCTGTACAACGGTGATTCCAATGAATACATGTCCATGGGTTACTTGTGTTTATAATGGTTTGGAAACCACTATAAAGATAAAATAATTTTGAAGCACTCTAAGTTTTTTTTTTAAATAAAGAAGATAGACAATAAGGAGAGTTTACAGTGATAGAGCACTGCTCATTGACAATGCCCCTCCTTTTTTTTAAGGAGTGAGTTAGGTTATACTTACCAGTTCCACCTTCACCCCTCTTTAAGCAATCATTTTTATTAATTTCTCCCTCGACTTCAAGTCCAGCTTTCAGAGAAACATCCAGATTAAACCCGAGGCATCTCTGTACATCCCTTAGTTCAACACCTGTTTAATGTATTTAGTTGAAAATTGTTAAATAACGTTTATCAACATCACAGATAAATTCCAATTTTGCTATTTTGTAAGAACTGTACTTACTGGGATTCCTAGACATTATTACTGAGCTCAAATGCAAGGTCATATCGGCCCTGATTTGTCCTTATGTTAGAATCTAGTGGCCTCCTTTTGAATTTGCTTGTCAACTTAATACCAAAGGACATATAAATTTGCTCCTTGTTTGAAAGGGACATAAGTCAGAATAGGGCAGTTATAGTAAAGTCCTTTACCTCTAATAACATGGCAGGGAGACATTGACATCTAACATATATTGAATACTTATCATACACACAACATCGTTCTAAGCATTTTGTATGCATTAATTTAATCCTCACATTGGTCTTTTGAGGTAGGTTCTATTATTGTCCTCATTTTACAGATAAGGATATGGAATGGCAGAGCAGATAAGTAATCTGCCAGTGGAATTCAGCAATTAGCCAAGTTAGTATTTGAACCAGAGTTGTCTGGTTGTTAAGCATTTCTCTGTATTGACTTCATAATTTGGTCGTGGGATGCATCAACAACTCTTGATCTTCTTTGGAAGACTCTGTTCATTATTAAGGTAGCTAGTTATTGCTTTGAGCAGATGGCTTATATAGATGACAATTTTGTTTTGGTCCTATGAATGCTACTTAGTAGATAGCAGTCTCAGAAGCTGACTCACTGTGGTGTGTGGATGCCACAGTTCCTAGGAAGAAAAATCCTAATATTTAATTCAAGCATATAATTTATTATCTATTCAGAAGAGAGAATAATAATTTTATTTTAAGGGTAAACTGCCTCAGTTCATTGACCATGTCGGTTTTTGCTCTTATTTATCTTTCAGATCATACACACACACATGCCAAAATGCTTTATGAAAAAGGAAAGGGAGAAGTTAAGTTAAACCCAGGGTTTCATGGTGGAATTTAGAAGTAGGGATCTGGGGTATTCAGGCATTCATTTATTCAACGAATATTTTTTGCGTACCCACAACTAGTGAGAACTTGAGAAATATCAGGTGGCTTTCCCCATGAGAAAGGGAGAGGGAGGATAAAAATGGAAGACCATGCTAGAAATCCAGAATACTAGATTTCCAACCGTAACCTAAGAAGCATAAAGACTTTGATTCTGAAGATGGGGATGAAAATACCTAAGTGATCCCAGTGAACTTAGCTTCTCTACCTCTACTGTGGACCTTTCACGTTCAGAAAGGGTCTGGACATCCCAAATCTAGGTGGAGGACATGGCTTGGTCTTTAGGTATTGCCAATGAAGAAGTGAGAAAGATGACTTCCCTCTCAAAGATACCAGAACTGACCTAATGATCCTTGTCTACTAAGGCCAGATGCTAAGTAAATTTAAGTGGGTAGGTCTGAGTTATCCAAGATTAAAAATTTTAGCCCATGGAGCTTTTTCACCAAAGCAACTCTTAGCCTGAAGTGTTCCTTGTGTTTTGATCATCCTTGTTGAGCCTTTCTCTTCTGATTTTCAGGTTACTCAAGACATAGTCCTCGTGTGCCCCTCGCCCATATGATATCTATCAAAATAGCCTACCAGGCAGGACTCATGAGACTTCATCATTCTATACATAGCCCTGTAGGGCAGTATAAGCCAAATAACCTCATATTCCTCTTCCCCTGGCAGTGTTTCTCCCTGCTCAAGACTGAGGCATCAAGAGCAATTTGTTCTGGCCAGGTCATATTTGTTTTGACTATATAGTGCTTACCAACTATGGGGGCAATGTCAGACTTCAAGTTCATAGCCATATCCCATTCTTCACTAGACACAGATAGAAGCTACAGGGAAGGAGCCATAGAAAAGGTTTTTGCCAACACTTCCCTCCCTAAGAGACACACTGAAGAACGCTGAGGGCAGAGAAAGGAGATATGTTGGTGCCTATCTCCTCTTTAAGGAATATTATAACTAGAAATAATGACTCACAAAGTAAATAATTAAAATTGATTAACACAGTCACTTTGCATCTACTTTATTCTTAAAAGGCTTAGATAAAGCTGTTAGGCCAGTATGGTAACCATGTAGTACATAGGCTTTTCCTGTACGTGTGGCAGACATTGATGATCCACCATGACCTTCTTTCCACGTTCCAAGTGTGGTCAGAAATCTACTCAACATGGACCCAATTCAACTACCACCCTATGATTAGACTTGTCATAAGATGAGGTAAAACTGATTTTTCTACCCTTGCTTTAAGACACCAGACTTATACAATCTTAACATTACTTTCTTCCTCCTCCCTAAAGAAAATAGAGAACAATATTTTCCTTCCAATACTGAAGAATCCTTTGGAAGATAATTGTCATACATATAATTGGACCAGCTTATTGATTAAGAAATAGATTATGTAAATTATGTCTCTTGTACTTTTTTCACCTTTTAAATAGTATGTCACTAGAAGCAGCATCACCAACTGATATTAAATTACAGTACAATTTTGTGCATTTCTCAATAATGCATGACCAAGTCATCTTGTTTGAGGTAGAAGTCAATTTGCTGTCTGATAGGGTTTTAGATGCCAAAGGGCAGGGAGAGAGTTCTGTCAAAGAAGCAGGACTTTATTTTAAAACCTTTAACCATTGAAAGAGATCAGCAATAGGAATAATGATTGGCTAAAACAACATCAGAAGTTAGAACTCTATTTCCAGGTATACCTTTCTCTTTCATGGATGCTTTATCCAAAACATATATTAGTTCATAGAATCCTCCTAGAGACCCAGAGCTACTGTAGTGGGTTCCATAGGTTTCCAAAAATGCAAAATATTCCCCCTTTGCATAGGTAGTCGGCAGAGCTTTTATATCATCCAAGAAAGTTGTTGTCAGCATGACATCCCGACTTCTCATCACAAATCTCCCCAGATGAATTATTCCTTTCACATGCAGAAACACTTTTTCCTTGATTGTAGAACAGAAGAAAAAAAATATGAGTTTCATAACCACTATTTTAAATTTAAAAATCACAAAATTTAAAAATTACAAAAAAATCACAAAATTTAGAACTTCCCCAGGCAACAAATGTTTTAGCAGTGACCCTAGATGACCACTTTAACCCAGTAGGATGGCAAACTCAAAATGTGGTTAGTCCCAACTGTTGAAGAAGATGGGCAGCAATCGGAACTCTCAGCACTGCTGGTGGGAATGTGCAATGGCCTAATCACTGTGGAGAACTGCTTGACAATTTCTTGTAAAAGTAAACCCACATCTACCCTGTGGTCAACAATTCCACCTCTACATAGTTACCTACGATCAGTGACAAAATAGTCCACAAAAAGATCCATACGAGACTTTTAGAGCAACGTTAGTCAGAAGAGCTTAAAACTGGAAACCACTCAAATGTCCAGAAATAGAAGAACTGATCAACAAATTGTGGTATGTTCACAAAAAGTACTACTAGTTAGCAATAAAAAGGAACAAACTACTGATACACGCAACAACATAAATACATCTCAAAAATATTATGCTGAGTGAAAAGAGTCAGACACAAAAGAGTATGTACTGTATGATTTCATTTACATGAAGTTCTAGACCAGGTGAAATTAAGCTATGGTCAGAGAAATCTGAAAAGTGGTTGCCTCTCAGGCAGTAGGGGATTGACTGAAAAGGGCATGAGGGAATTTTCTTGAGGCGATGGAAATGTTCTATGTCTTGTTTGACAAGGTGGTCACACAGGTGGATACAAAAGTCAAAACTCATGGAACTACAGGCTTAAAATATTTGCTATTTGCATTATCACTTGTAAGTTATACCCCACCAAGTTGATTGTAAAATGTTGACAATGGAAGGAAATGTAGACATTCTATATGCAGCCCAATCTTCTCATTTTGCAGATGAGGACACTCTGATCCAAAGGTATCAAGTTATTTGCTCCAAATCACAAAAATAGTCTTTGGCAGTGATTGGAACTACAATCCTAGGTCTCAAGTCTCCCTGCTCCTTCCTCTATGTCCTTTCAATTTTTTATAACAAAGATAGGATAAACAACATTTTAAGAAATGCAAGCTAAATGAGTGAATAGTTAAGCATTCCTAGGGATGATGGCTCAAATTTCCAGGAGAAAACTGAGGCAGTGACAAAGAACTATGTGTTTCGATGCCACAGACTATCCCAGTCAAAACTAAACTACAATGGACACCTATGATTTGTAGACGGTTCGTTTAAGTTTCTCTTGCTATAGTAGTGGTTAACACATGTTGATTGCATAGAAGTTGAAAACATTTTATTATTTTTTAAAAGTATATGTTGGTGTATATGAACATCACACCAAACTTTCTGTGTTTCAGAAGCACAACTGTTCACATTGTATGGCTTCAAGTGATGGTCAGTGATTCAGTCTTCAACAATGAATTTGCCTTCTGATGACTTGCATAATAATTCTCAGTGGAGTCTCAAGGATGCACAAAACATATTTGGACTCCTCATTGTTGCTAAAATTAAGAGGTATAACTTGTCAGAAAGACGTTAACATTCTTTGGCTCAACTTATTTCAGAGGTAGATCTTAGATCATTTCCATCCAAATACAAAGTTGTTCCTTCCATCTTAGATAATAAAAACAAAATCTCTCGGCCTCACTTGTCTAATCATTTGCTACCAATTTCTTTGCCTTCATTAGAAGCAAAATTCCTTTAAAAAAATTTCTATACTGGCTGTTTTCAATTCCTGTCTTTCTATTTTCTCTTAAATCTAATTCAGTCATGCAGCTCTCCTTACTACTTCAGTAAAACTTCTCTTGTCAAGGTCACCAATGACCTTCACAATGCTAAAGCCAGCAGCTGTTACTTCTTAGTCCTTCTTCTTTGAAATATTCGCACATTTGACACAGTTCATTACTCCTTTCTCCTTGATACGGGTTCTTTTCTTCTAGGACAGTTCTGAAACTGTAAAGTGTGGACAAATCACCCATAGAGTCTTGTTAAAATGTAATTCTAATTCAATAGGTCTGGGTTAGAGGCTGAGGTGTTAGCTTCCCGGTGATGCTAATGTTGCTGATCCATGGACCACACTTTGAGTAGTGAGGTTCTAGGGCATTAGATTTGCCACGTCTTGCTGTCCTCTGCTGGTTCTTCCTCTTTCGCCAGACCTCTTTCTATTGAAGTTCCTTGAGTTTAGTCTTGGATCTTCTCTTTTCTATTTACATTAACTCTTGGTGGTCACACGAAATCCTATGACTGTAAGCACCATCTATATACGAACAACTCCCAAACTTATAGCTCAATCCCAGATCTTTTTGTCAAACTCCAGACTTATAACACCAACTTCCTACTTAACATCTCCAAATGAATGTCTAACAGACATCTCAAACTTAATCTGACTAAAACTGAACTATTGTTTTTATTCTCTCAACCTGCTCTACCGAAAGTTTTCTCTATCTCAGTTAGTAGCAACTCCATCCTTCCAGTTGTTTAGACCTTAGACTCATGCTTGACTCTATACCTGCTCCATCCATCTGCACACACCTGGATTCCTGCAATAGTTTTCAACAAACCTTTTTACTTTTGCTCTTCACTCTCATAATTTCTTCTCATTTAAAATATACTAGCATATGCCAATCTTCTATTCAAAAAGTTCTACTGACTTCTCATGTCACTCAGAGAAAAAGCTAAACTCAGAACAGGCTGTGAGGCCCTTCATGATCTGGTTCAGGATAAACTTTCTAACCCGTTCTCCTGGTTCACTTGGCCCAATGGGCAGATATGTTCCCACCTTAGAGACTTGTCTCTAACAGTTCCTTCTGCCAGGTACATCATCCCAACTATGACTATTTGGCTGTTTCTTCTCCTTCAAATCTTCATTCAGATTTCATTTCCTTTATGAAGTCTACCCTGGACTTTCTTTTTAATATTGCCACTTGCCCAGCACTCCTGATTTCTCTTGTGTTATTCTACTTTTTGCTTTATTCCATAGCACTTATCACTTTCTAAATACTATATCTCTCACTCTTTTGCTCTTACGTTTATTTTTTCTATCTCTCCCTGCTGAACTTTCAGCTCCATGAGGCAGCAATCTTTTTTAGTTTGGTTCACAAATGTATTCTAAGCCCCTGGAACAGTGCCTGGCCACATAAGAAATCCACATTAAATATTTGTTGTATGATTTAAAGGATTTTCCAACTGCATCGTATGGATGGGTATGCATATTAATATAGAGACAAGGTACAGAGCCATACAAAACAATTGTATGATTAGGCATAACATAAGTACTAAGTGTGAATTATTATTATTTTTAAAGGAGGAGAGGGTATCTAAACAGGTGACTGTGTTATCAGAAAAGGAAGAATGAACATTTTACCAGCATCATACTGATTACAGAAAGTGTTTCCTATATTTCAAAGGTGATGAAACAAAATTCTAAATGTGGATTAAATATTAAAAAACAAACACATTTTCAAAGCCTTAAATTAAAGGTGTGATTACAAAGTAAGCAGACCAATGTCATATGCAATGTGTACAATTTCATGGCACCTACTTTAGAGACGCTTTCCAGTAAGTAAATAGTCATCAGTGTAAGACATTGCAATGAATTACCAAATTCCTCAGTCTGATGCTTCATTGTCATTCTGAAGATGGTATAAATTCAACAGTCTATTACCACAATCTCAGTCTAAAAGTATGTTCCGAATTCTTAATATGCTTGTTCTCTGTTTATCACCACCAAATATCTCGCCCCCTCATATACTGCAGATCCCATGGCCCCTTCTTCAGTTAGCATTCTTCTTCCTCACCTCCTAGCTACATATTTGGGGATTTGTTGAGTATTATTTTTTCTCTCTCTCTCCAGTGAACTCTATCTGCTCCAAACACTTAAACTTAAAAGAGTTTAAAACTCTTTTAAGTTTAAGTGTTTGGTTAGTTTGAAAAATATCCCATTATATCTTCTATATTAAGTATTTGGTCTTACCTTTTTAGAAGAATGTGACAAGAACAGTTGGTAAGTTTCATTTTTGGAATATGTAAATCGAAATTTACCCTCAGCATTTGTAAGACTCAAGTGTATTTTGCCAGGAGTTTCTTTAAGTGTGCTTTTAGACTTTTCAATTGCTTCAGTAGGTGTGAGTTTTAAAGTTATATCTGCATTAAAATTTGATGTCTTCTCTTGGACAATTCTTTTGAATGCCTCCATCTGTTCTTCATAATGTTCAGTTCTGAAATTTTTATCGGCTTTTGTCTAAAAGAGAACGATGAAACGCTGTGAAAAACAACATGCAAAAAACCCACCCCAAATAAACACAGATGAAAGAAAAATCAAGCAATTTATTTGAAAGGTATTTGAGCAAAGGAGTTAAGAGTGAAACACTGAAGTGACATCGCTGGGCTCTGATACAGACTCCATGACTCTGAGGACAGGACACAGTAATCTCTCTCTGTGTCTGATTCCTAGTCTATGAAAAAGAGATGCTCACCATACATAGCCCAAAGGCTGTTAAGAGATAATGCAATGAGATAATGCATATGAAGGGCTTAGAACATAGCAAACTTTCAAGTGTTAATATGTTAATAATTAAAGAGCAATTTGCATAACAGATGCACAATATACTTCCATTTGTGTAAAAAAAGAAAGGAAGAAAGAAATGATAAAGCCAACACTGACTGAAGGCTTCTGGGCCAGCACTGCTTTGAATATTTTACGCATGTTAATTAATTTAAGCAGAAAGGTTAAGACAAGGTCTGCACTCTGAACCTTTACACTCTCCTGCCCGTTAATACATACATACATAAATAAATAAATAATAAAAAACTAAAAAAAAAGACTAGGAAAGCAAGCAAGCGAAGAAAGGTTTTTATGTGCACAGAAAATTACCAGAAAAATCGACAAAGCAAAGTGTTTGCCCTTGAGAAGGGGAACTGTGAAATGGAAATCTGGAGTGGGAGCTGGCTTATATTTCCTTGAATAATCTTCTGCGATGTTCAGACTTTTTGACTTTTTTTTTTTTTACCACTTTCACGTTTGCATGGGGAAAAAAAAAACCCTGAACTAAACAACCTAGTTAAAAATTAAAAATACTAAACTTTCAATTAAAGAATTCTTAACCACAAAACCAAAAGACAAACAACAGAATGGGAGAAGATATTTGCAAATGACATATCAGATAAAGGGCTAGTATCCAAAATCTATTAAGAACTTCTTAAACTCAACACCCAAAGAACAAATGATCCAATCAAGAAATGGGCAGAAGACACGAACAGACGTTTTTCCAAAGAAGACATCCAAATGGCCAACAGACACATGAAAAAGTGCTCAACATCGCTCGGCAT